ATTTAGCGTCCCCATTCAGTTGAATAAAGTCAATTTTACTTGCTGCGTGAAAATGTGTTGAAAACAATAGATAAAATACACTGTGCCGTGTATATAAGAGCCATCAAAATATTCAGCTTACATAGTCATAGCACTTAATACTTGACTCAGTTCCAATTATGTTTGTGTAAATTAACAATAACTTCGAGTAGATTGGTCTAAGATAATCATACCCATTTGGCAGACTCACTCATAGTGAGTCCAGAGACATTAGATGAAGTTATATGAATCAGGAAAAATTATTATTGGGACATAGAATTTTTGTATCTTTCTCTAGTGCTTCTGCCACCAGAATATGTTGGCTATGATTGATGTTCTGCTAGTAAGCACTCTTTCCTTCTTTCTTTCTGTGCTATACTGAAACTACAGGTAGTTCAATCAAGAGGCAATGTAACTCACTGATAAAGAACACTGAATTTGAATCCTGTTGTCTACCATTATCAGCTATGTGAGCTTGGGCAAATTACTTACTCTCTCTGCTTTGGTTTTGGTAAGTGGGGATACTGATTGGCTTGACCTCATGGAAGCCAAGGCCATGACCCAAATAAAACATTTAGTGCAGTCCCTGGCTCTTAAAAGGTATGACATTGTGCAGCATTAGTATAAGCTATTTTCCCATTCCTCCTTTTCTTGCTCTTTATCCCATGAACACTTGTGGTGTATCTTTGTGGAACCAGGTAAATGCTGAAGGAGACACTAGAAATATGAGACTCAGAATTTTAAGTTAGGCTGTTAGTGACCAGCTAAGCTACTAGCAATAGAAAAGACACAGCCATCAGGGAGCTTAGTGAGCAAAGAATCTACTGTCACTAATATGTTTGTGTTTATCTTCCCCAGTGGAAGTAATCATTCATTCATTCAGCATATGTTTTTTTTTTCATTCAGCATATGTCTATTGAACACATACTCTGTTGACTAGACAGTGCCAAGTGCTAAGGAGTTTAAAAAACCAGGTATGGATTTTCTCCCTAAACAATTGAAATCTCACATAGAAAAAACAAGAACTATATTAAATAAATGATGGAAGGCAGAGAATACATACCACAAAGAGGGAGAAAATTCTTTTATAGTTCATTCATACAGTTAGTAAGACAATCATTTAACAGTTATTGGACACACAACAGTTTATGTAATACAATCTCATTTTTTAAACTTTATATGAGCATAAAGGATTATCTAGAAAGAGAAAGTGAGTGAGTGGATGAGATGTGTTTTTCTTTCCTTCTTTTCTTTGTATGGTATTATAATAAAAAATTTAATTAGAAAAAGCTTTACTGAGGAAAAATGTGTTAAGTGCCTTCTGACTTTTTGTGAGGAAACTCAAGTATCCTTCAGGTAGGTAAGTTCAGTGAAAAGAAATGAATACGGCAGTCAAGAGAATTTGCTTGACCTTGAACAATTGACTTGTTTCTTAATAACTTCAGTTTGTTGTCTATAAAAAGAGGATAATAATAACTGCATTGCCTAATTACAAGGATGTTAAAAAGATGCAGTGAAAGATAGTCAATAAGAAAGTTTTTTAGATTCTACGGAAAGTACGAGGTTGTATACACCAAGGCTATGGAATGGATAATACAGACAAATGACATAGGACTTTCGTTACTGGTAAAACAGAAGTCATGACTATGTATTAGTATGTATTCCATGCTAGTACCTCGTAGTGAACACTGTTAGGAATAGACTCTTGGATTCATATTTCTGGTTCCTCTCAGCACCTAGAACCATACTTTGAATATGATAAAGATTCAGTTATTATTATTGATGGAATGGCTCTTAGAAATAATAGAAATATTAGAGAGCTTTGACAAATTTTTATATTTCTGTTGTATAGAAATAAATTTGAATTTTATTCCAGTTTGAAATCATTTAGTTACCAATTATTCACTCCATTCCGGTATTTAAGTATTTACTGAGTATCACATTTCTCTCTTCATTTTTTTCCAATTACAGAACACCATACTGTGTGAAACGGATATAGTTCTGAATAGTCACAATTCTAAAAGCCAAAATCAGTGGCCTGAAAACTAACCTTGATTTCACTCTGATTCTCTTTCCCACATACTCTACAATTTTTAACCAGCCAAGTGCATGGCATATAGCTGGAATCTCCTTACCTGTTTGGTAAACTGACCTGAATTCAAATTCTTAGGGCCAGAACTTGAAGTTAGACTTTTGTGATACTAGTGATATTACCAATGTTTTGTGGGGTCAGGCAATACACATTAACATCCTTATTTCTTTCTTTAACAAATGAAGCAAATAATTTAAGCCATTTATTTAATTTGAAAAGATATTATGGGGCTTCCATTCCAGCTGCTATCAAACATTGTGGTGTTTTCAGATGATAGAAGGACAGCACAAAGTGTGATAGCCACTGATTCAAACTTTGCCTCTGGGTTTCCCTATCAATCGGCTCTAGGGAAGAATAAAGAGAAATGTGCACAGTCTCAACTTTCCCATCTCAGTGTTCTCTTTCTTATCATTTTCCATATAAACCTAGAATATTTTTCTACAGACCCCTTGCCTCTGACGTTGAAGTTAAGAGCCTAGACAAGGAAAGGGAAGTAGAACCTAATAGAGGGGAAATCTACAAATATATGCATTTGTACTTATAAAGTAGAGGAATAAAAGAGATGATTGATGTATTTCTTTAAAGAGTTTGAAATGCTTTGCTTCTTGTGCTAAATATCATTGCTAACCCTTTACTATACTTCAAAAAGAAGGTAAAAAGAAGAGCAGCATGTTAAAAATTTCACAGCTCTCCTAATAAAACAGAGCATTTGACTAAAGCAGAAGATGCCACTTTCTTGAGTGATTTACTTAGAAAATCCAAACTGTCTTGAAAGGATCTCTTTAAGTTGCCACAAGTTACTAGGGGAGAACTGGGTGTTCTTATAGGACAGTTTAGGGTTTTAAAAGGAAAGGAAAAACTTATTTCTGGTCCTTATCTTATTCATATTCAATTCACAGTATAAATTCCACTTACAACCTTTCAAAGACCCTAGTATACACAGAGAAAGAAACAGAGTAATGGGGAGCTCTGTGGTTAATTTCATATACAAATAATAGCAGAGCATCATTTTCCTATGGTGAGCTCATGTGTGTCAAGGAAACAAGATGAAAAGGCAGCAGAATAAATATGAGTATTAGCAGGTAAGTCTAGAGGTGAATATTTGCAGAATCAGAGTGCAATACAGCCAACCTCCTTAGGTCTGCTATTTGTATCATAAATGCTGAGGATACAGCAGAAGCACTTGAGGACTTGATAACCACGACACAAGGGAAGGCTTTGATCACTCCCCTCAGCACTCCACCCCCACCCGCAGTCCCCACATTTTCTATCTCAATGAGAGAAGCAGCCTCCTTCACCAACTCAGTGACCTCTGAAGACTTGACCACCTTCTTTACCAACTTCACTTAAAACCACCATACAAATGGAAAACATTGTCATATTGCAAGATTTCTCTGAAATGGGTGCTACCATTTTAGAATTTTTTTCTTTTTCAAACAAATAGGTGAATTGACCCAAAGTGTATAACTGTGACAACTTCAACCAAGGAAAGCTATGTAAAATAAGCAAAAAGGCCATCTTGAAAACTCACCTGGTGATCTCCATTTAATTAAAGAATTATGGTTGTAGAATGGGATGATGCAAACTTAAAACACCTAAAAATGCTAAAAATTCTTGATTATCAATGATAATTAAGAAGATGTTTGCTGTTTTACTTAGATGTTCTTGTTCAAACCAGGATTATCATCATTTTCCTGTAACCACCAGTTTTCATCATAAACAAAAATATACAACCTTCTTGACGGAGATAGTTCAATCTTTGAAAATTCAGCAAGCACTTAGGGATCTTCAGTACCTGTGCCTTTATGATGAATAATAGTAGTCATCATTGTCTGGATTCACAGGTTTGGGAGATATCAAATAAATGGGTGGGATTTTAATTATTATTGACATAATGACACACCTTAGACATTTTTAAAAATCTTTAATATTAGCTTATTTATTTTTCATTTGTCTTTAGTAAAAAAGGATTCCAGAAAAATCAAGACAAAATTATATTGGTGGTTTGGGTTACTGAGATCTTGATTATAGATTAAGTTCCAGATTCTGAAGTAGTGAAAGAAGAGAGAATAGAGATTCTGGTTGTTTGCCAGCAACTCACCAGGCAACCTTGAGTGATTCCCTTAAAATCCCTGATTATCAGATTCCTCATCCAATTAAAAGATGAAGACCAACAAAAGTGATTTCCTTACAACTTTCAAATCCTATGATTTTATGATTGTTAGGATGCAAAAAAGACAATCGTGAAGTTTTTTAAGAATGAAATCAGTGGGAACATGGATCACTTAAGGTTAGGAGCATAGATTCTAGTTAGCAATTCCACTAACTAGCTGAGGGCTGAGTCAAATTAAACACTTTCTGAAACAGGAGGGGATATAAAAAAATTAAATTAAGGTTTTGAAAGCTGAATAATTTCATGTAAGCCCCTTATTAACCTTTCTGGATCTCACTGTTCTTATCTGAAATATGAAAGTGATTAAATAATCCCTGGAAGCTGCTAGCTCTAAATTTCAATGTTTCTATAACATTGTTAGAAAAATGTTTGGTCATTTCTATTTTCTAGATTTGCTATATCATTATGGTGGTTAAATCACCGTTTTCTACACCAATAATTGTAAAGATGGATTAATTAGCAGTAAATCACTTCTGATCTATTCATCATTCTTCAAAATAATTAATATGGCCCAGGTGTTGATTGCCGGGAGAGCCAAATCTTGTTGATGAACCATTTCATTCATTTGTATGATTTTCATTCAGTAAATAGTCAGTGTCTCTGCCTTCTTAAAAGATGACTAAGTATTTTGACTAAAACATATTCCACTTTAAAAAACAAAAACACTTACCTTCCCTGTGCTTCTTTCACTATAAAATTGTGACCACAGATACTTACCTCCATTATAGAAGGGCTTTGATGACTCATGACATTTGCAAGGTGCACTGAGGTCCTTGATGGAAGGCACTCCATCTGTTGCAGAGTATAATTAACATTATGAGTTTACCAAAAGAAACATAAGAGTCATTGTTAAAGAGCATCATGGGGGCTGTCTTGTCCTTTAGTCATAAGACACCTCTGATGTGGAGGAAGGTAATAATTTATAGTAGCTACTAAAAGTAACTTGGACATGAAAAGAGTTAGTTGTTTTCAAACTCAACAGTCTTTTTATTAATTAGAGGAGCAGTCATGGCAATGTATTCAACATGTTTTATTTTTGAACTAATAAGAAAAACAATTAAGTACCATGCTCTAGAGGACATGTTGGCGTCTATGAATGCCAAAGAAGGTAATATAATATTCATATGAATTAAGCAAGCTATTCTTTAGGGAGTTCAGTCGCTACAGAGCTGGGAAATTCCAGTTCCTTTGATCAGAGTGGAGAGATGCTGCCCCTACCATCGTTTATATGTGCCTTAATTCTGCCACACACTGCAGCAATGTCAAGAGAAAGGATATCCACTTCAGGGTTCTAAGCCTGATTGCTTGGCAATGCCAAGGGAATGGTTACCTTAATCTCAGCACCTCCTCCAGGAGGCAGGAAAAGCCCTGGGTAAGTCTCAGGGATCCAGAGAATGGTTGTCAAGCAGTTCTTTCTGATAAACTAACAGCATTGTGCACATTTAGGTACTTAATAGAGATTCTTGGTGATGCTGCTGCTGCTGCTGCTGCTGCTACTGCTGAAGATGGTGTTACAGAAGGGGGTATGTGATGATTTTGATGACTTGGGGGCTGGAGCTAATTGTGCTCACCATGAACCACAGTTGACAATTCAGTACCTCTCACCTTCAATAAAAGAGGGAGGTAAGGAAGAAAGAAAATTTCCGGTCTAATGCAGAGAATTTAGAAACAAAAATAGATGAAAAGAATTCATTGATAAGCTTTCTGAGAATTTAATTAAATTCATATTTATCAATGTATTGTTCAAAAGGAGAATTTGGGGATAAAACAAAAGGAGAATTTGGAGTAATAAGATGAAAATAATAATAGAAGAATGTGAATAAAATATTATACATGTCCTTTTGGTATTTGGCATGTTTTCTGGCGTTCTTCTATGCTGCTATTAGAAGAATATTATTCCATTTTTAATAAAATTAAACCATTGAGGGGCTTGGGGGAAGGCAGGAAGGGTGAACAGATAAAGCACAGGAGATTTTTAGGGTAGGGGAAGTATTCTATATGATTCTGTAATGGCAGATACGTGGCATTATGCATTTGTCAAAACCCATAAAACTAGGTAATGCAAATAGTGAACCCTAATGTAAACTATGAACTTTAATGAATAATGATATATCAATATTGGTTCATCACTGGTAAAAATGTGCCACACTAATGCAAAATGTTAATAATAGGGGAAATTGTGGGGTGGAGGAGAGAGAATTTAATGGGAACTCTGTACTCTCTGCTCAATTATTCTGGAAACCGAAAATTGCTTTTAAAAATAGTGTCTATTAATTTAAAGAAATTTAAATCATTGCCTAGTCCAAAAGAGAAGGGAAAGCTTTTATGTTGCTATAAACAAATTCCATTTAAACAAAAAGAGGTCAAGAAGGTTATATTTTTTTAAATACTAATGATATTTCCTTATTACAAAAACAGCACATCAAAGCCAAGCTTTATTGTAACTACCCCTTTAACCTGCCCATGCACGTGACATATTCAAAAGAAGCAACATTAACATGGAGTTCTCACTTTATTCTGAACCAGAAACTGAACTGAAGTATCAGTTTTTAAAATAAAGATCAGCAGTGATCCCTATAAAACCTATCCCTATATTCCTCAATCCAGAACCAAAATATAAAATATTTCACATCATATCACACTGCTACATTTTTGACCAGTGTAGACAGCACATAAACATGAAGGTAGCTAGATCACACAGAACTGAATTCTATGTTCCGGATTTTTTGTACTTCCTATTCTGGGAATCTCATAAACCCAGATTTAAATGTCATGGGAAAGTGGAAGTGAACACACTATTCTTTAAGGTAAGTCATCTGGAATCAAATAGTTATGGTATAGTAATAATATTTCATATTTGTGTAATGCCTTTGTGTCCTGAGTCACCTACAATTGGGTAGTTCAATTAAGTCATAAAAAACAATACTAGTTATAAGGAACCATTGTGCTAAGATTTCTGAGGATTACCAGGGTCCAAATCTTACAAACTCCATAAGAATTAGATATACCTTTGAAGAAACACTCTCATGGTCCTCCTTGAGCTATCATTGTCATTTAAGGCTGCAGGGTGACATTGTAGGAATCACTCAAAGCACTGTGGTATAGCTAACCCAGGAAAACTTTTTAAATAAATAAAGTTGACTTTGGAATACTTCCAGGGATAACTAATTTCCTTTATTCTCAAAAACAGGTTAAGAACCTATATCCCCAACTAACCAGGGATTTTTCCATCCTGCCCCTAAAACATTTGCTGCTGCTTGTCTCACCACAAGTTGACTGTTTAAAGGATAGGGCCCAACTCATGGTGGCTTACACAGTCCTACCTTCCTCATTTGTGTTCCTGCTGCTCCACCAATACCATCCATTGACTCACTCATTCTTCATTGACTTCATTTTTTTTTTAACACTCATTCACTTAATCACTTATATGTTCCATGTTCAGTGCCTAAGATTAGATACCAGGCTAGGGCTCCAGAATAATGCAAACAGTAAGAGATATGTGGACTGTATTCATAGAGTTTACAGTCTATCTAAGCAGAGAAACATTAAACACATATTATTCAAATGAGTGTTTAATTTAAAAACTGATAAGTGCTACAAAAAGCAGAGAAAAGGCAGAGTTCTGAGAATGTGTAAAAATAGAGGGACTTAACCTGAAGATGTCAGAAGATGTCTCAGTACGAGTTGGCTGGGAGAAGTCTAAGGCTGTGATGTTTTTTATTTGGCCTAGACTACCACCAACATGCTGAAACCTGCCAGTCTTACATCTCTGCTTTGGGACAAAGCTCCCTATTCCTTTTGAAATGCAATTAGCTAATCTGATTCATCATAGAATTGATTATGTTGTGGAAAATACTCCTGAAGATACTTTCAAAAGAACCTCTTCTCTGACCAACCCCATATGTTTACATCAAAGGAGATATCCAGCCTTTCTGGTGTCCGTAGACCAGTATCTCTAACTGAGGGAATGTGAGGTCAATTATGATGGGAAAACGGATGAATGAGCTCACTTAGCCAGAATGGTTTATGCTGCCTCCCTTTGTGGCCCTTTAATGGCCCTTTATCTGGGCTGGAATAGACAGTGAGCCTCAGGTAGATGTCACCAAGGCAAAGATGGACATCACTGGTGCTTCTCTGGTCTCACAACCTACCATACCAGAAGAAAATCCTATAGAAAAATAAAAAATAACCCATCCATGGCAGATGACCCCTTAGGTCACCTTCTTGTAGGTCTTTATAGAAGGACCTTCCAGTTATCTCTTGGCCTTGGGCTACCTAATGAGATAGTCTTTATCATAGCTATAAGAGCTCAAATGCTTCCAACATGATATCAGTCAGCAGCAAGCAGGACTCATCCAGACAAAATTGTGAGGTAGTTTAACTTCAAGGTGCCCCTACAATGTCTTCTGTGTCCCCCTTGTAAACACCCCACATCACAAGCAACTGTCCATTTGGTGTTACCCATTTGTTTTTGTTGTTGTTGTTGTTGTTGTTGTTTTGGGTTTTGTTTTTTTTTTTTTTTTGGTGTTACCCGTTTGATGTTCAATAGTCTACATTGTTATGATCCACTTGTCAAAACAATATCCATACCTCCTAATTGAAATTTATCTATTCTCTGTACCAGTCTTTCAAAAACCTACTATCACTATAGTAGAATTGGTTGTTACATCAATTAAGAAGTCAGTTCGTAAGGTGGCACCTGGCTGGTTCAGTCGGTTGGGTGTCCAACTCTTGGTTTCTGCTCAGATCATGATTTTATTGGTCCTGGGATCGAGCCCCAAGATGGGTTCCCATGCTCAGTGAGGAATTTCCTTCTCTCTCTCCCCCTGCCCCTCCCTACATGCCCCCTGCCTGAGATAAATCAATAAATCTGGGGGGATCCCCGGGTGGCTCAGCGGTTCAGCACCTGCCTGTGGCCCAGGGCATGATCCTGGAGACCCGGGATCGAATCCCATGTTGGGCTCCCTGCATGGAGCCTGCTTCTCCCTCTGCCTGTGTCCCTGCCTCTCTCTATGTCTATCATAAATAAATAAAATTTAAAAAAATAAAAATAAAAATAATCAATAAATCTTCAAAAAACTTTTTTTAAGTCAGCCAGTAAAAATGTATCAAATGATTGGATTAATTGTGTCCCAATATTCTTGTGCAAAGTGCCCTCCCTCTTCTTTATACTTTGACTTTTCTGGGCCTCACTTTTTTCTGTGGCTAAAATGAAGGAGTTGGACTTCAAGATGAGCTTTGAGTTCCTTTTCATCTCCTATAATCTATTCAATATAAGTGGGTTGTAAAGTGTAATCTAACATTATTATTCTCACTAATAGGTTTCTCCTTCCAGAAATTGCAGTGCTCATAGATCTACAACTCTTCCCAACTCTGTGTCAGCTAGCGAGGTGTTTCATGATCAGCTTTTTCCCACCACCATCTTTACTAGAACCTTCTCCCATCACTAGAATTCTGCTTCTTCTCTAAGTTTCTCCAACACATTCTGTTTTTCCAGGCCTGAAAAATGTGTTTTCTGTCTTTTACCTTTTCCTTATATGTATGTACTTATAAATATTTATAATTGTTTTGTGATATTATATGTATTGGAATACCATGTGTATTAAATTTGTTATTTGCTTTTGAGGGACAACATATTTTCTGACATCATCAATGCTAATAATGTGTAAAGCCAGTTCATTCACTTAACCTTCTATTTCCAATATGTGAGTATACCATAAATTAATGATTCATTCATTTACTGAATATATAATTAGCCTATTTCCAATTTTGTTCCTTTACAAATAGCACCACAAGAAAAATCTTAAATGCTTCTTTGGCTATGTGTGAGAGAGTTTCTCTCAAGAGTAGATGCCTAAGCATAGAATTACTGGTCACAGATTACATATATCTCCAAATTTACTGGATATTTACAAGTTATATAAATGGCTAAGAATTAGTATGTGGAATATATAAAGAATTCCTAAAAATGTGCAAGAAAAAAATGATCTAATATAAAATGGACAAATAATACAAATAATCAACTGAATAAAGAGAGACTACACCTGGCCAATAAGTATTAGAAATATGTTTAGCTTAGTAAAGGCCAGGGAAATAAACATTAAAATAAACTCAAAAAGTGGGCTTTTATTTCATACATCTGAAAGTGGCAACAATCTTAAAGCCCAGAAAAAGAGGATACTGGGGCAGGAGTAACAGAACATTCTATGGGACGATAATGAAATGATTTATACTCTCTTGGCCTTTCTTATTTCACCCATAAAATGAGGATGACCTCTAAGAATCCCAAAAGCCCTAACATTTCCCTAACTTCTTTTCTGTTCAATTAAATATGATTCTACCAACACTGTATTCAGGAATAAAAGAGAGATATTTGTCTCATCCATTGTGTTGGAGCCTGCTAGTACTGATGGATTGTTTGTTTTTTCTTAATATTTTATTTATTTATTCATGAGAGACATAGAGAGAGAGAGAGACAGAGACACTGGCAGAGGGAGAAGCACGCTCCATGCAGGGAGCCTGACATGAGACTCCATCCTGGGTCTCCAGGATCCCACCCTGGGCTGAAGGTGGCGCTAAACCGCTGAACTGATGGATTCTGTTTTGATGCATTCATTTGTTCTTTTTTTCCCAAAAATATTTATTAACTACATAAGACATATTGGATGTTTGGCAAGTCACTGCTCTCCCACTGTGGGAGAGTGAAAAATAGAAACTCTCAAAAAGCCCATCATACACAAGAGATAAATGTTATGATGTATAGGAGTGTAGAGGGGCAATAGGAAGTGCTACAACTCAGAGCTGAAACATTAGAATAGGATTCCCAAACACACCCTTGTAGAAACAAAACTTGAAGGTTGAGTGTATCATCCACGTATAAGGAGGAGCAAACATAATCAGGCAAAAGGCAACAATCTGCATGAAGGAAGATGGAGAAGTAAACAGATTATCTGAAGAGTGGCATTCAAGAGGTGAAGAGTAAAGAGGCCATAGGGGAGTACAGAGTCCAAGAATTTACAGGCTTCATAAGCTATGTTAGAAGGTTTAGCTTTAAAATGTATTTATTTATTTGTTTATTTATTTACGTATTTATGTTTTTATTTATTTATTTGAGAGAGCATGCATAAAATGGGGGGAGAGGCAGAGGGAGAGGGAGAGAGAGAATCTTGAGCAGACTCCCCACTGAGCATGGAGCCTGCCCACCATGGGGCTCAATCTCACAACCCTGAGACCATGACCTGAAATCAAGAGTTGGACATTTAATGGACTGAGCCACCCAGGTGCCCCAAGAAGGTTTAGCTTTTATCTTAAGAGCGAGGAGGAGCCATTGATGGCCCTAAGGCAGGTTTTAAGACTGGCAGATGAGTTATTATTTAGAGAGGTCAGTTTCCAAAGCTGAGGGTAAAGAGCCCAGCTAAGAAGCCAAGCAGGAAATGGTGCAGAGCCATGGATGCACATACCAGAAGAGATAGAATGAAATGGGTAGATCTAAGAGATTTTGGAGAGGTAGAATCAATAACACCTGGTTTGATTAGATGTATGAAGTAAAGGAAGAGGAAGAATCAGGACTCTCAGGCTTATGGCTTGAACAAATGTAGTAAAGGTGATGTTATTCACTTGGATGCAGGCCACAGGACAAGGGAGGGGGGTCACCAGGACATTGAAGAGCAACTGTCTGGCAATTAGTTGGATATGTGATTCTGAAACCCTAATGAGCAGGGCTGCCTTGAGATTAGATTTGAAAGTTCTTACTGTATAGTAGGTAATTGAAACTCTTCTAGTAGATAATGTTATCTCCCTAGAACATCTAGATTGGGAAGAAAGAGCAAAGGAGTTTGAGAACAAGTTGTCAAAGGATAGGAGGAAAACCCTGGAGAATGCAGTTTTATATACACACATACACACAAGATAAAGTGAGCAACCAAATGTCAAGAGCTGCTGAGATCCACAGAATTTTTTATTTCTAAATATAGTTGTCTATCCTTCTTAAAGGTTGATCTTAGCAACAATAACTTCAGGGAAGTCCCATGATGGATGTAGACTTAACCCAAAACTGGAGTTGAGTTGGAGAAATCAATGTGTGACTTCACTGGGACGTTGGGGTGACTTCTGGTGCATTTGCCTTGCAATTTCTGCAGCCCCCTAAGAGCATCTGCTCTGGTAAGAAATGTCATTGCTGGCTTCACCATGCTTGTCACTCATACCTGCGTGGTCCCAGTGGAGATGGCAGTCCTAATCAACTTGCTGCACAATGACACGGAAGAGTTAACAGAGTTACCGGATGATGCTGTAGAGTGAGGTAAGACAGTGTCCTGTTGATATCAGCGGAAACTCCCAAGACACAGAGTGTGATGGTGCATTCAGGAATTCAGCCAAAATGATAAGGACATCTCCAATTTTAGGGGGAAAAAAGTCAACTGACAGTTACTCTGAAACCTTATTCAGGATGTACACAGCGCGGATTGTGCCGGCATTGCTGGTTCTGAGCTCTACAAAGAAAAGTGGAGCTGAATAAGTGCTCCTCTGCTTCTTTAACCCCTTCCGAGCCACTGTGCGTGTTCAAACAGGTGCCATTTTTTCCTGTTAGTCCATCAACTACTCACCAACGAAGCACATGTGTCATTGTTCAAACATACAGCTTGACATCACTGCTCCAATTATTTAAAAACACAAAACAGACACACACAAAAAACCTGATTCTTGTTTGTTGTCTCTTTACTGCAAACTGGACAAATCACAAAGGCAGACACATATGGCAACTTCGAATAATTCTGTCTCAGTGAAGTCAATAGGACCGTAGCATCGACGAAGCACGGCGGGGATGACAGGGTGATGAAGAACACGGGCTTTGAGGGAACAGGAAGCAGAGACCTGATGTCCTATAAATATTTCTAAAGCAATAAAAGAGAGAGAGAGTGGGGGAGAGAAACACAATGACAATGTGTGTCAAAACAGTGTAACTCGAAGTGTCTATTTCAAAAGGTTTAGAGGAAGAAAAGGGCAGGCACCATATATAGAAATGTTCAGTCATGTTTTCAAATCACTCACGGGATTGAGGTGCTGAAAGACCTGTAGGCCAGGGATTTATGCATAATCGGATCATTCAAAAACACAGAAATGGCTGCCAGAGCAAAGTACAATGTTCACTTTTGAAATGACAAAAAAAGCTTTGTTTTAAGCAGGCTGAATTGACTGAAGTTGAGTTTCAGTGAAGCATGTTTTGGCTTTGGGTGTCATTATTTAGTTTGGCATCCTTGCCAAGGAAACCTTTTTCTTACTTCGCCTGTTGTTTTTCTTCTGGTGCTACAACTGTGAAAGTCCAGGCAAGATCCCGATGCTACATATTTAAATGAGAACTGGCTCCCTGTTTACCTTTGATTCCGAGGAAGGGAGTGGGGGAGCATGGGGTCTTGATTGCTTGCCAGGACTTGTAAAGCTGATAGATGTGTGCCTTGTCTCTTGAATAATCTGGAAAATCAAGTTTAGCTGGTTTGATCAAAGGGTTTGCAAGTCAGTTGAGAACACTTGCATGCAATAACTATAGATACTGTATACATCGACCAGCCAAAGGCCAAAAAGCTAATAGCTCTGCCAGAGATAAAGGATTATGTATGTTATGCTTGTGAATACCAAAGGAAGGAATTCTCCATTTTAATATTGATGGCTAAGGTTTGTACTGGTGAGACATTCAGACAAACAAAATACTCTAAATCTTAGCGACTTAAGTCATGATGAAAAACTTTTAAAATCCTGCTGCTATCTGCCCACTTAAATCCGGTGTGGAGTGAGGGAATCAACTACACACTTCCTACTGACAGTTCATCAAGAGACAGGAGGGTAGGTTTAAATAGTTGTGAGTTGAGGTTTTCTCACTTTTTTTTTTTTTTTTTTTTTTTGGAACTCCTTCTTCATCGGAAGCTTCCAACTACAACACCTGCAGAGGCAACTTTGATTTGAGATGGAGGTAGAAAGAGACTGGCACGCATTCCTTTTCAGACATCCTCCTTTCGGGCAAATTGGTCACGTGAGAGAAACTTGATTACTCTGTCAAGAAGTGAGTCCCTACATCAGAAAACTGCACCGCATGGTGTGAGAAATTAGAACAATTCAAACCAAAAGAGATGCATTGGATCATCTGCATCTGGACTGTCCTGTGCATTAACCATGCGACTAGGTCTCACGAGTTTATTTCAAGTCCCCATGCTTTGATTTTGATTTAATTCGCTTTTCCTCTTGGCAAAATTATAGACAACTAACTGCACCTTCAGCCAGTATTTCCCATTTTCTTAAGATACCAAATAATCCTCTTCAAAGTGAACCACTCAATCCCCTGGTGTGAGCAGAGTATATAGGAGAAACCTGCAACAGACAGTCATTTTGGCTGATTACAATTTCCTAATATAGACACTGTTTTCGTTACTACTGTGAAGCCCATGAAACAACTGTTGGGGAAAGCTTTAAAAACACAGACACACACACTTGGCACACCGGCCTGGCATTAAACTAAATTACAGGTACAGTGGTGACATATGTAAACGAATCTGCCAGTACAAGTTACCAAATGTTATGTGCCGCACACAATAATAGGCAATGCATTATTCAAGTTTTGTACTAATTAAAGAACTACTTTGTTGCTAAGAATCAGTGTATTAAAAACATACATTCTTATTAACTGCGTTCCCAAGAGTTAGAAAGATGAGAGGTGGATCTCAGGTTTCAAGGACCTATTATTAGGTTCTCAAAGTATTTTCTTAATCGCATGCATTTTTGAAGAGAAAGCTCAGAGTCCCTATCACATAAACAAGGTCTGATTGTGGGGTTTTAAATGGCTATCTTGGGGTTTTCTTCTTTCCACGTTGTTTTTCCTTCTCATTCCACCAAATTTCATTTCTCGGAGTCAGAACCTGAACCGAAGTTAAACACCATAAAGAAATTTGCTCAGTAAAACAGGACTTTTATTGGCTGAAAAGCATTTTTACAGTGTAATCTGCATTTTTGTAAGTCCTTGTGGAAAATCCCCTCTGATTGAGTGGTGCTTAAAAACTTGAAAATACACATTGCCCATGAAGCTCTGATAATTTGACAGAGAGATGGCAGGGGGTGGGGGGTGCGGTGAGGAACTGGTATATCTGACCCACCAGGCTATTGTCACCAAAAGAGTAAAAACACTTCCTTTTTGGACAACCCTGCAACTTGCACGCACCCTAGATCACCCAGCCTGGCCCCTAGGTCTTGGGGTGATGTCTGTTCTCTGCCCAACGGTGAAACACTGACAGCACAGAACAGCCGTCCCATTTCTGCTCCAAGGACTCCCTCCCAGATTCTCTGTCTCCCCACCATTTCTTCCCTGTAACAGTGCCTGGGCTTTTGCTCATATTCTCTCCATCTTCTCCCTGTTTGCCAGTTTTTACTCTCAACCCCAAACCAATTTGTCCATTAACACTTTTTTTATTTTTATTTTTTTAGTTCTCAAGACTCAGTTCTTTGAACAACTTCTTCGCCAGAGGTTCCCAGGAGCCCACGGTTGCAAAGAGCCCTTCCCCTCTCTCAACCTGAAATGGCTGAGACACAAAAGCCCCCTGTCCATTTCTCTGATGGCACATTATCCCCTTAATCCATAGCTCTAGACCTTCCCTTTCTCTTGTTTTCTGGCTCATGCATGCGAGAGATTTGGCTAAATGAGAGGGGATTCAGTGTCACTCTTTCTCATTTGCACTTTGATAGGCTTTCTTGAGTGGATGGAGGAGAAGGAGGTGAAATTACAGCTAATTTGCCAGAAAGTATATACTCTCGTGATAGCATGGAACATACAAACATTCTCAGTCATGTGTGCACACCAGCAAAAGTTTGAAAGCCATTGCTGAGGCATTGCTGAGGCTGGCCTACTTTTACTAGATTTGCTCTATATTTTAAAATCTTTGCTCTTATTGATAGTAGTTTTCCTGATCTTCTGTTTTTAGGTCCTTCTTGGTTCCTCTGAGACTCTCAATGGCCTTCGGTCAAATGGTCTCTGATCTCCTCCATGTTAAAATGAAAGAAAACCAAGCACACCCATCACTTAGCCCCATCCCTGTTTTCAGTTGGTCCACTTCTCCTTTCACTCACCCCAACGTCTTCTCTTCCTTGACCACCTCCAATCTTTGTCCTGTCCCATTATTTTTGAAACTACTTAGAGATCGCTAATGGTCTCATAATCAAATTCTCTGTGCCCTCTTTTTGCAATCTTCATCATCATCCCAAGAGATTAATGCATTCCATAAATATGGATTGGCACTAACAGTAATACCTACTTTCAACATTTTTACCTACTTTCTTTCTGCTTTTGTTCTCCTGGATTCAACTCATGCTCAGTTTTCTTTCCAAAATAGCCCTCTGCCTCTAGGCTCATCCCTCTAGTACCTTCCTTTCTGAGCGCTTCTCCATCCTCTGCTCCTGACCTTAGCCTCACTTTCTTGAACTTTGTCAAAAGTGTTCCATTCGACATTACTTTTTTCACTCTCTCTCATCATCCCTTCCTCTCTGATAGGTTCTGCTCTATGTATCCTCTTTCCTCCCAAACCTTCCTTCTTTCTCTGCTTATTTAGAATGCAACATAGAAAAGTACATCCTGGGGGCAGCCCCGGTGGCTCAGCGGTTTAGCGCTGCCTTCAGCCCAGGGCGGGATCCTGGAGACCCGGGATCAAGTCCCACATCGGGCTCCCTGCATGGAGCCTGCTTCTCCCTCTGCCTGTGTCTCTGCCTCTCTCTGGTGTGTGTGCCTTTCATGAATAAATAAATAAAATCTTAAATATATATATATATATATATATATATATATATATATATATACATATCTCCTAACTCCAGACTTACCAACACTTGGAACAAGTGACAAAAACAAAGTCATAACTTCTTTTTCCCCTTAGAAAAAGTCCTTTCTGAAGAGCTTCCCCAATATAGCTTGGCAAGAAAAGGAATTCTATATTTTTTTTCTTGAGATTGTAACTTAGAGTAACTTGTGAGCCTTCATAATTTTTAGCCAAAAAGTCATCAGCTGTGTCTTCCAGAGCCTCATTTTACAGATTTGCCCTTTCTCTGATTCCTGAGTGACTTGGCATTGAGTGGAGGACCAATGGCTGCTTTCAACACACACCTGGGTTTATCTTATAACAGGATTTACTCATTCATGAATTGACTTATGCTTGAAAGCTAATTGTTGACTTTCACATAAGCAACATCTTTCTAATAATAATTATAATCTATAACTTCCTAAGCAGTATATGCCCCAATTAGGCATTTGATTATCTTATTAGAATACTGACACCTAGAAATTTTTGAGGAAACGTTTTGCTATTTTATATCAATACATTTTTTAAATTTTCCCAGTAAAAACTTTGAGTCAGTCACCAAACGACATACTTTACTTTCGGTCAGCCATCTCTAGATTGTAAGTTCATCAAAGACCTAAGTCTGCAGCTAATACTGAGTTTAACATACTGAGTTTAACATCTTACAGACTTCTGAAACTTAACATCTTCTAAACTGAGTTATTATTTTTTCCCTAAATTCTATTTAATTCTATGATCATTTCTATGCAAATTCTTCCCAAATCTTTGCCTTAAATCCTATGTACTTCCCAAGCCACAGATGGGAATTCAGGCTGCCTACTGCCCACCTCCACCTAAAACTACCCTTGCAAACAGTGGATCCAAAATGAAGCCCTCCTTCCAATCTGCTGCTCATATGGGCTGTAGCCTACAAGAACTCCAAGCGTGGTCCGATCCACATGCTATTGAGGTACCAAGAATGGAGACACATATGCCATCTGAGTGGTGAAGGAAGGCTTCACCTGAAGGTGGTTTTTAGATCTGAGTTTCAAAGGAAGAACAGAAAATTCCCAGGAGGTAATTTAGGCACAATAAAATGACACGATTGAGACAAAAATCACAAGTCCTACTATGCCCCTGGTTCGTTTCCATTCCCACTGTATATACTCCGGTTCTGGTCTCCATCAAGGCTTTCTTGGTCTTCACCTCAGTTCCAGTATCTTTCATCCCTGATGTAGAATCATCTCTATCCATTTTCCAGGAGGACTCCATTTTCCAGCCAAACTTAGACTCCATCATGTTTACTCCTCATCTTGGAAAATCCTTTGCTTTCTCTCTGCCTATAGAAGTTCTACTCACCATTCATCTCTGTGAAGGCTCCCTGAATCCTCTGGGCATCATTAATGGCACTTTCTTTTACACTGTCATTTATAGCATTTGTCACAGCCAAACCTATGCTAGACTTAGTTATGTTCTTGGCCATCTCCCTCACTGGACTGTAAACTCCTTGAGAACAGGGACCATGTCTTAACTATTTGAACCTCCCTAGTGGTGTCTAACACAGTGCTTTGTATGTGGTATGTTCTCCATTATTATCTATTGAATTGAATTGAGTAAACGGTTACTGAATGAAAAAAAATTACACGTAATTCTCCCTATATAATTAGAGCTAAGCTGATACAGGTGGGTACTATGCAATCCTGTTTGTTTCCAAGTCTCAACTTGCTGTTGAATCATTTGTAGATTTCCTGACAGATTATTTTTTTATATTACTAGGATTTAGTGGTGTAAAAATGGGATCTAACAATTTGACTTACTGTAAAAGTAATTCCTTAATTTTGTAATCTGTGTACAGTAAAGGTTGTAGCTGTGCTTTATTCTTCTACCTTAATAAAACGATTCAGTGTTAGGATGTGGTTTTCTCCCCTTTTGCCTCTTGATGTCAGCTCTTTGAGCTCAAAAAGAATGGTTTTATTCCTACAGAAGGTGATAAAAAATACGCTGCAGATGAATCTTGTGCCACACTTATTTTATGGTCCACACTAAAACACATATTCAGTAGTCTACATGTAAACTGAATGTTTTGGTACAGATAGTCATATCTTGTACTAAATCTTCAACAACTTTAACTTTCCTGCAATGAATAAAGCCCTAATAATAATACTGTTTGTGTGGCTGCAGCTGATTGGAAGTGAGTAAAATACTAGGGAAGTTTGATTTACCTTGGCCCATTTCCATGGTGGGGATGGTGCCAATCTGACTTCTCAGCTCTTCTATTTGGGGGCATCTTAATAGGTTGGGGCCTTTTGAACCAATGGGACATTTTTAGCCACTTACTCTCTGATGTTAGTGTTACAGGCAATCCTTTGTTGCGCCTGAGGTGCTTCAAATGCAAATTCACTTAGGTCAGCCCTATGACTATGTGAAGACCTAAAGTTAATATTTATCTTCACATTCTATTTTATAGTAAATGCTTTTTGTCCTTCAAAACAAATCATACGCAACTAGTTCCAAACAGAAATCTAAAAGATTGGTAAGGAAGTCTTCCTTAACTAAACATCAATTAAAATATGGTCTTTAATTTGGAAGTCCTTTCTCTGTTTATAAGATTTAAGAGGATCCTTTTGCTCATTGAATTATGCCAAAAACTAATGATCAAAATGCCTGGCAAATTAACCTGAGAATTTAATAGTCTCAAGTGAAGAACTATGCTACAGGCTTTAAAAATACAATTCATATGTTTCAATCACATTGTATTGATTTTAATCAAAGATATCAGTCTCTATTAACCCAGTCCTACATATCTGACATAAATCTTCATCTACTCTGCTTGAAATACCCGATATTGTAGTTTACCAATAAAAGTAAATTTGTCATTAAAAACAAGTCTCTTCAAGTGCTTTGCACACTTGGGGTTAATCCTGATGTGTTCAAGAACCAAAGAAAAAAGCAAAGGAACAGCAGTAAGGGTTTCTGTCGAGAAGCAGATTTGAGACATTGGGACAGATTTGAGTTTGGGGAGTATGAACAAAGGTTGCAGATGGCAGACTGCAGAGTGATGGAAAGAAATTACTGGCTTTGCAAATGGTAAAACTGGGTTTGAGTCCATATTCTGCACCTCTCACTGAGTTCATGCCCAGGTCTGTGCTAAGACTTCAAGCAATCAATGTGTACTCTGTGAGCCTCCACTTACGAGAACCAGCACTTAGAAACCATAAAATATTTTTTAAATGCAAGATGATAAAAGTTGTTATTAACAATGTTATTAATGATCATGTTAAATATTGTCCTATTTAAAACCCTCCAGGAACTTCTC